ATCAATTTTCAAACCGTAAACGTTATTAGCTTTTCAGCTGTGCTTGGTTTTGTAGGATACAGAAAGTATTTTTTCCGGTTTTTACTTTACTATGTGTAAATTTTTTGAGCGAAAAAGTTGCACAATGATCATGAAACGCATTATTATGTGAGATAAGAGTTGAATGTATGCGTACGGCCCGAAAACAACTGATAAATCGAGCGAATATCGTGGAAAAAGTGAGCCAAGACCAAAAAAACTGCGCCAAAGTCACTCAAAAATCAAGATATTGTTAAATAATGGTATTGTGCATTATAAGTTCCTTCCGCCAATCCACTTTATTGTCACAGGATATTACTTGAGTGTTTTGAAGACAACAAAAAGTGATGAAGTTGGTTGGTGAAGGATATATAGGTGTAGAGGAAAAATTACATTAGTCTTATTTTTGATCACAATATACTTGTACGCCAAGGCATCCACATGAGAAAATCGACTTCGTCAGATCTAAACGTACGGTCAATTTAATACTTCCAAGCCATAAGTATTTAAAATCATCAAAAATGTCTTTCCTGAATGCCCTAAGTATATGGAATTTGATAATTTCTAATATCAAGGCTATTGTGAGTGTGAATAAGTTCAAAGCAGCAATTAGGTTATTTTACAATTTGGAAACCAATTAGTAATTATGTAGTTATGTCTAATTTTGTAACAGTATAATTCGTTTAAACTGCTCTATTTTCTTTTTCTATGCCGAAAGAAACTTTATGGTCTTATTAGGCCCATAAGTCTCTTTTGACTTAATTTATCTTATGGGAATTAATAATAGTTTTAAGGTTGTTGGCAACACTGTCAAGATATACTTAAAATGTAAAACAGATTGGTATGCTTGCAAAACGTAAAAATTCCATTATGTTGCTAAAAATAAATTTGGGGTCGGTTACGTCTATGCTGCGGGCGGACTATTTTTATTATTGACAGTGTTTATTGAGTCACTACTTCGAAAAACAACGATTTAACGACATCATCGTTGATGACTTCGACGAAGCAATAAATAACCACATTTTCTGCGTCAACTTAAAACATACACTTTTGTACTTGCTTTTTGCTTTTTCATGAAGCATTTTGTTAATTTTTAGTTCACTTACAAATTATCATCAATAATGCTAGACTCCGCAGAAATAAGTGACGTACGGCTGCAGCAAAACAACATTGCACGTGTCGCTGCGAAGGTACCACCTTGCTTGAGGACTAACCTCCGCCTTTGGTTAAGTCGACTGGAAACTCAATTTTTTTTCAGTTAGAATTACTTTGAATACCACCAAATATTATAACCTAGTCGGTTCTGATAAAAGCAGTGCCCTTAACGCAGTAAGGGGCATCAGCGAAACGCTAAAATACGCGTTATTAGCCGGGTCTTGAGATTACGAAAGGAAACGTCTACAAAAATCGTCAGAAAATATTCGTCTTGGTGATAAAAAAAACTTCAGCATTTTACGTGAAATGCTTCAACTATCTTTCGGAAAACTGTCAGATGATCTGCTGAAATTTTTATGGTTTAAACGCTTGTCATCAAGATTTTGGATTGCTTGTCAACGTCAAAAGAAAACGCCTTATTGATAAAATAATAAAATTAAGCGCATCTTGTTTAATGTCATCTAAGAACGATATTATCTCTGTTACAATTTGTTCAGTTCCTGAAAAATCACTATTTATTCTCTCTTATCGCAATCGAAAGACATTGTGATCATGCATTTTATCCGAAATTAAACGTCAACGACCCATTGCATCAAAACGGTTCATTGTGAAACGAGCATGCTTAAAATTCAATCAAAAGAATTTAATTATATTCTGCAATTAGGTGTACGGCGTGCGTCGAAGAGCAGTTGGGGAAACCCTTTATACATTTTTCTAAAATCTTACAACGGATAGCATCCATGCAGCGACTGTACAGTTTTTAATAATATGACGGTTCGAAATAGATATTGCCAAATTCAAACAGTGTAATTAGAAAAATACGAACGATCATAAAACGTACACCTTGTTAGCTAATTTTTTGGTCTTATTAATCTTTATCGAAGTTTCATCCGCAGTCGAAACACAAGCTGTTCTTCATGATTTTAAACAAGGTCAAGAGAAAAACGATCAAAGAAAAGTTTTTTGGACAGATGAATTAAGAAACGTATTCGATTGTTGCAAAAAATAACCCATCGACCTTCACTTCTAGCCCACCCGCTCGAACGATCACCTCTATCACTTTGATGCTTCAGTTTGTCCATAAGTCCATACGTGACAGAAAAATTTCGCAATGAAATAATTGAGGTTATGCGTAATTTATCGCATTGTGGTTCAAAATCTTCGCGTTAGTATCAATGAAGGCAGACAAAGAAAAATTGGGTAAATTTTGTATATCCTGTCCAAAATCAATAATTGGGAGACAGAAAAACCCAGATGGTAGCGTAGAGACACTGAAGATTTATGCACATAATCGTCGACATCATTGTCGACCTCGAAAAATTACAGATATTTTCGTATACGTATTGGCAGACTTACAAGATAGTCGGAAGCCATACCTTTGGAAAGTTTTACTGCGGACTCAGTTGTTTACGGTTTCCGTCATGACTGGATTTCTAGATTTCTTTTATCACTTGCAACTAAAAGTTTGAATTTTCTCTATTTGCGGAACCGCCAGAGAGTTTGATTCCAAAGTTCTCCTTGTAAAATCTTATCACAATCAAGGTCACGGCTAAATTAAAAGATGGCATCGAATTTTGATTAATGCTACTAGCCGTTAAGGTATATCTAGAATGTAAAAATGGTTTGCAGGCTTTCAAAATATTGGTAGATCTGAAATTAATTTTTAAATTTGTGCAGTAAAAATTACAGTTTATTGCAAAAAATAAATTCCTATCGATTACGTATATGTTACAAAATATTTTTATTCTAGTAAGTGTTTATTGCGCTACTATTTCGCCAAACAACTATTTAACGACGCCACAGTTTTATTTAACAACCGATTGTATAGTCGTAATTATTTAATGATTAGTTATGCGTTAATAAAATTAAACTTGAAAAAAAACAAGTAAAAACGCTATAGTGGACCAGGGCTTGGCATTGAACACTCTACGTCGGCTTATAGCTCAAGATGAAGCTTTGCGTGGTAGAAAAAGTGCTCTGATCTAAATCATTTTAAATGGCGTCTGTCTCTAGACCAAAACACGTCAGTGCACCAACTTTTACCAAAATATCTCAAGTATTGCAAATAGTAGGTTGAACACAAGAAAACAAGACGGGCAGACCAGAGGCGGACAGACCTACAAGCCAACAGACCATTCAGCGAATGATATTAAATCAATTGGCATGGTAAAAGGTGGGTCTCTCGCAAGCCCTTCTGAGTGTTGCATACATCCGCGCAAACTTAGTAAGGTACACAATATATGTACTTCGGAATAACAATTTTGTAATAGATAACTTCAATTTAAGATGGAATTGCGCAACTTCAACTTTCCCACACACATATTTATCATACCGTTAATAGCTGAAATTTCCGTCTACCACAGATATGAAGAAATTTGTGTTTTTTGACTATACATTGTTTACAAATAAAAAATCTTGTTAAGTTTTATCTGTAGTTGGCATTATCTTCTTATTTCTTTCTCTTTAAATGAACTTGCTTCGCTTTTAAAATAAACAGGCCACAGAAACTTATAAAAAAGAGTAGTTACTCTGAAAAGTTTTGTTTTAGATGATGCGCAAAAGTTTCATCTTTCTACATGTCATTTCTACACTCATTTTTAGACTAAACCTTAGTTGGAATCTTGCTCGTTTCCACAAATAGTCTTGACCATCTTTACCTGCGCTGCTTTCATTAAGAAATTGTTGATTTATTTCTTTCTTTCTTATTGCAATTAGCGGCTGTCTTTTTAATCTTCTGTGATTTCTCATATTTGCCTTATTTCAAGGTTGACTTGTTATGTTTCTTGTGTCTTGTTCTACATTAGAGCGAAAGGAAAATAAAAGCTGTTACGGTGGAGTATTTAGAAAAGTGAAAAGGTCTTCAAAAAAATCTTGCACGATGGGCTATTTTTCACGCTTTAAAAATTTCTTCCGACATCCATGTATATATCACATTGAGGCTGGAGAGGAAAAGTGTATTAAGTCCAATAATATGTACACATTTCGCTTATATAATGAACTTCGGGTAGATAAGTGAAAGGACAAAGTAAACATTGAAATGCTTAGGCGTGTAACGTTCCCGCTGTGTAGGGGTTTTTTACACCACTTATTTTGAATGGCAGTAATATTTCTAATTGCAATCGTATAATATATCCCTGGGTATGTTGTGAATAATAAACAATAAATGCATCTAGATATATATCTTCCAACCTACTTGGACCCATGGTACACAATCGCGTCGAGCGGGCCGAACATTGAAATAAATAATAAGAACTATCAATCTGAGATTCTTGGTATAATTACTAATATTCAGTGGGCTCGTCTGCGAAAAAGCTATCCATGATGGTTTTGAAATTCTATGCGTTAAAAAACATATTCAACACTTATGTTCAAGATATCTTTGTACACCTATTGATTTCGTAAATACTTTGGCAATATTTTCCCTAGACGAATCCAATGAAATAAGCAGGTTAAAAAGAATGAAATCACAATATGTAAAAATTCAATCATAATAACCCAATTAACAATTAGCAAACTGTATGTGATTGAAAAGTAGACTATTTAATTGCTGGTTAAGAGAACTTTAACTTTTGGTCCAAAAATGTGTTTTTTAGTCAGTCAACTTTCAGTTTAAATTGATATATTGAAAACGGCCCTTGAAAATTAAATTACATTTTTCCCTTAAATTAACTCGATGATCCTAAGTTTGCATAGCACTTATTTATTTATGTAAACACTTGATACCTGTATTATTATATTGTGCACATTGCAGGGCAATAACTCCTTCTCTTAATATTTACGTATTATTTTTACTTCTATTAGGTAAACTGTAAATAGAATATATATAATAGAAGAAGAAAAAAGAGGATCAAAGTCTCCTTAAATAATTAATTAATAACTAATAATCAACTTTTAGGGCGTGTTATAAAATATTAAAAGTAACATAAAGTATACATTTCGGGTACACTTGTTCTTGAGGAGCTTAATTTTATCCATTACTGTATAAAAGATTTTGGCCTGAAACACAACTAAAATGATTGAAGTAGTATCATATTCATGATTCATATCATATGGTTCTCCAGTTTCTTTTTTTCCCCCAAACTAAAATGATCATCCTGGAAAAGATGTGAGAGATAAAAGTTCATTCTGCAACAAAAATATAGAGGGAAGCTGGTCAATAGCTGGTTAACTGAGTTGAAATAGATAAATGAATTGGGTTTTAGGTTCAATTTAAGGATTGCATAGAAAGTGTAGTATTGCCAATGAAAGGTGTTGCTTACTTAGATTCATGTTCATTATCGTGATCCGTTCGCTTACATCATCTTCGTGAAACAGCATATCCGAGATGATAACTTCTTTTAAAGTCTCCCCAAAAAGAAAGCTACAAGCTGATCGTGAAAATGTTCATCTCCTCACACCTCGTGTTCACAAACAACGCTCTTGCCTTACTTCTTATTTTATATTATTACATTAAAAACAAATTATAATTTTTGCATAAAATATTGCATTGGCCGGCTATGAAACTTGTTCAATAAAAAAAGGAAGATAACCTGAAAACGTTGTGAAATAGTGCACGATGTAATATAGTATACATTTCCGTGATTAAAAGAGAGGCTTTGATATGCTAGAATATTAAAGAAACTGTAATAAATACTCGATTCAAAGTAAAAAATACATACAAGCAAGATCATGTTGATAGTCAAGTAGATTTGGCCTGTATTTACAATTAGATTGAAAAGAACGAAATTACCAGGACGTTAGATCTGCGCATAAGTTACAGAAAAGTAAGCAAATCTCAAATGCACATTATTCAGGAAGCTCCCATGAAACGGTTAATTAATCAATTAGCTTTAGAAAGTGAATAAATAAATAGGTAAATAAATAAATGAAATACGCACGGTTGAAAAGGGTTACCCACCCTGAAAAGCATGGTGGTGGGTAAGCGAAATTCGGCCCACGCCAAATATAGATTTCCTTTTTGTTAAATTCTTATTTAAAAACGCTGTACATAAGTTGTTTTCCATTAATTTTTTTCGTTTAACTTTTAAGCAAGCTATGTGGTTTTTGTATCGATAATTTAAGTGCTCACCTTGACTTGTTTTAATTCAATCGTGGCTAAAATCGAAAAACAATTAATATAAAATTTCTAAATTATTGAATTTTTCATTTTTTTTGCAAATATTCTTTGTTCTATTTTTTTGTGTGTCGAAACAACACTGTTTTTGTTGAAAGAAGACAAGTGACAAGTGATATATATATATATATATATATTTATATTATGCACTAATATTAATTAGTGAAAAAAGGAAGAAAACAATTAAAAGAGCTTCGTTGTTATTTTCGCCTTTTTCAAACAACAATATAAAAAAGGCAAACATTGTAAAACAAGTTGTTTATCAAAAGACAGACGACTTGTAAATGACAGATAGAGAAACGCAGCATCTGTTTATTATTGCAGTACTTTCTGCTTAAATGTTTCCTGAAATATATGTCGCGATATATTATTTGCAGTTCTGCAACCTCAACGATCTCAACCTCGAAACATAGTAATCGACAGATCACAGTATACATAGGTATATATGGATTCTTTGAAATAATTTTATGCGAGTAGGTTTAGTATTTATTGATATCCAACGATGCTGATGTCATTATACGAGGCTTGTAGCATTTAATTTTGAATAGATGTTGTTACGTCGGAATATGAAGTCCAGCGAAGGCCTTTAAGTTACTTTAGTTTTCATAAAATACATTGTTAAATATCTAAGGAAAACATTCGACTTAATAAATTAATTTCGCTCCCGAGAGCTTTCAAGTATATGTATTTGCAATCAGATTCAAGGTTAGAATACGAACAAGAACAAAGTTGGACAAATAGGTTTTCAACTTTCGTCGATTTAAGACCAAAAATTTGTTGATCAACACATAACGTCAAAAAACGGTTTATATTTATGTTATCATTGATGAATGTAATCAGTAATATGTATGTATATTACCTTTATAAGCGTATTACTCTCCGCCTAGCAACAATGAATCATACAATATTATTTACAATTTATTGAAGACCTTTCTTATTCTAATAAAGGCTGGCGATTAGTAAAAGGTTCAATAACCATTATCACCATTAAGTAAAAAGTACTTTCTTCGCAATTTTATAAGAGTCGAAATAAAAATAATTTACATTCATTTAGATAAATCTGACCATATCTTGATATATTACAAGTTAATATTTTTATCTAATATTTTTATATTTTATCTTCTTATAGTGCGCTTAGCTGCATAATCAGACTGATTTTATTATGTAAATTAATCAAGACTATCCCGCAAAAACAAACAAGCGGATAGGCTGGCAGACAGACAGACAGACAGATTGATAATTACTAAAGTGTTCACTTAAAGATGCTCTGGTAGCATTTATTTTGATCCTGACAAATCTTGGCATAGTCTAATGTTTAGGTAAACTTCTAAACGACAAGCAACACATAAATTATGAATTATGAACTGAATTTTAGCCTTTAACTGAAATTTTGTAAACTATATACAATTTTCTCGTTCTATTTAATACTGTTAATATTCTCTTCAATCATTAGCTTCAATTTCTCCTTTAATATCTTCTTTTCTCTCCCCTTTATTTATAATTATTAAAAGCTCTAACCCATATTCAGCAAAATAGTTGTGTTAAGTGTTCTTTCGTACTTTAGGGCATTTAGTGAACTCCTTTCTTTATTTTATTATTAGGTATCATATTTAATATCAAGTAACTAATTTATGAAAAATTACTATCACTGACGCCTTAATTAAAATGAACATAAAGTCTGCATTTATTTACAACGGCAATTGTATTGTTGTAAACACAATTAAAATAAGTATATTTAAAAAGACAAGCTTAATTATTAAGACTTCCTATTCAAAATGAAAGAAATTTTTTTCAAGAGCACAACATCGTCATGTGTGTGCATTTAAAGTAGAGTTAATTCTCTAAATTAATACACAAACAAAAAGACTTAAATGGGGTTTCTACATATGAAACCGCAAATCTTAAAACATATAAAAATCGTCTTCATACTTCTTGGAATCAAAACGGAGAAACAGCTCCAGCGAATACTGAGGTCGCTTTACGGCTACCGACAATCGAGCAAGTCGATCGTAATTTTGTATTTTGGGTTTATAGATGCCAACCACGACCAATCAGCCGTTAAGTTTTGCACTTTTTTCGAAAGCTATCGTAAAACCCCACTAACGCAAAATTGTTATCGAGTAACATATTAGTAGGACTAGTTACCCTAGTTAATGATGAAAATTCCAGAATTTTGAGAAAAGCATTACTATTATTACTATTATTATATACCCTACATCACTTGTGGTGCAGGCGGACGTATGTGCATGCGGACGTATGTGACACGCAGACGAGCTTCATGCCGACTCATTTTTGATTGTACGGATGGATTGTATGGATTCAGAGCCATTTTTTGAATCGACGTAAGCTAGTCTCTTCATCATATATAAAGTCTTACTCTGGAACGTCGTCAAATGGAAAAAAATTGCCAAATTTCAAAATTTTTAGACAAAACTCACTGAATAGCAGTACTTTGACGTTATAAACTGGTGAGAAAGATTAGATTCGGCTGGGGCAATCATTTGAATCTGTTCTCATATAGCCATTCCACGAGAACCGAATCTTTATATAATAAAAACATGTTATCTCCAATATTTTATGGTGAAGATTGTTTCTTAATAATAAATTGACAAAGAAATCAACCGTACCGAATTTGGACCGTGTAGGTCTATTTTTTGAATACCACCGCATAAAGGGATTCTCAGGAAATGTAAACCCTTAAATGCCAAATTGTCCTAATTTTTAAGGTTTTACGATGAAAATTTGTTCATGATAGTAATTCGACATAAAAATTAAGTGGACCAAATTTGAAGCATTTGGTTCTATTTCTTGGACTCCACGCCGTATAAGGTTTCACAGGAATAGGAAGCCCCTTAAGAAACTTAGTTTTTAATATTTCATGATAAAAATTGGTCCATAATGGCAATTTAGCAAAAAAATTAGCCCTAAGTAATTTGGACCACATATCTAAATTATCTCTTATATGAAGAGAAAGTGAGAAAGTCGTATTCCTAGTTTTTTATGAAGGAAATTGCAAAATAATAAAATTCTTCGGAGGTAAACTAGGTTCGCTAAATTTGGATCACGTCGTGCTACTTTTTAGGTATACTCCAATATGCGGGCTTTCATAGAAAGTATGCCTTTGCATGAAAATGATGTGTAATTTTATATACCGGGAACATAGTATATATTCCTTGTGTGATAATTTGTAAAAAACTATTTGCGGAGAGCAACAACACATCAGTCGCGGCAATGGAATCGTCAAATAGAAAAAAATCCACCGATTTAAAAACAATTTCATAATTCAGTGTCGAATTAAGTTCGTCAATATTGAATCGTATCCAGGCATGATATATTTTCGTCTCTATTGATGCAGTATTCTTTATGAAACTTTGTACACTGCACTCTTGCACAGCTCTGTCAAAAAATCGTTCCCAACCAAATGCGTAAAATTGCCACTTCCCAAGGATAGTAAAGGGTGACAAAATTGTAAAATATAGGGATCAGCAGTGAAACTGTGATGCAAACACTTAAAAATGTTCTTGCCTAATCCCAAGGGCTCGATAAATCGAAACAAGTACATTTCATTATATAAGCAATATTACACTGGATAAAAACCTTACACAAATTTACTATCGTTCTTGTAAGGAAATTGTTTATTCGCTTTGTCGTTTCTACTTATCTACATTTGTTATTCACACATCGATGATGTCATAAATAATAGGTTGAACGTGTACCGAATAAAAAATGTATTTCACATCGAAAACAATCGAATGATATCAATTCAATAAGTGATGCTCGCAAGATGTCGCACGTTTCAATAAATCAAGGCAAACCAAACATTTTTTGAAGGTGTGGTTCAAAATCTAATGAGCATGAGATTTTTTTCCAAAAATTAACTTTAAAATAAAATTGTCATCGATATGATTATTCTTTTTTAGAGAAATTTTAATTTATTGCAAAAGTTCGGTGAAAATTGATTGAATTGATACGGTAAAATCGAAACACGAAGAGAACATATTTAATGTTTCAAGACACAATTTCGAAGTAATATTTGTTTTACTTCTAATGTACAATTCATCATATAATTGACATGAGGGACTTCGAACACCTATTGCTTTTTTTACTTGTTAAGTATATTCAGAGTACATATAGAACGTCTCTAAGGCTACTGCTGCTCTGTAGTTCGATTTTAAAATTCGCTTGCCTACTTATTATTGACCCGGCGCAAAATATCCAATCGTTCGTTTAACGACGTAAATCCATGCCAGCCCTTTAACTTTATCGCAACGGTATTTTCCTAGAAAACATGTCAAACCAAAAATTGAATAAAAATTATAGTATTAGCTCAAAAGAGGTAACAGAAAAACAAAACCCGCTCTTAACTTTTATATATCCAGCAATCCCAACGTTTTATATTTTCTAGATACGATAACTGAATTTCGGACATTTTAACTCCTGAGACTTCTAGCGTTAGGCTTCATAACGAATCAAGAATATTACATTATAGTGATATAAAATTCGCTTTTGTAAGATACAGTCCGTATCACTAGATCGTCGATATTTTGTTCAAGAGAAATACACTTCAAAGTTCTTTTATTTACAAGTGCATTCTCTCATAGTAGGAGTATTTATTTACAATTATATTTCTTAAATGTAGGATTATTCACAATTTATCATTGTCGTACTCTCAGCTCAAATGTTCTTGCCCGACTAATTTTGCCTTCCACAAATATTCTACTTATATACATTTTTACAATCACATTACTATAATTTTATAGTTTCATTTTTAATTCGTTAACCTGCTTTTCTAGTACTCGTTTTCCTCGGTCGCCAGCTGCATGACGCGCTGCGAATGCGCATTTAGTTTTTCACTCTTTAGGGAGTTTATTACTTAGCTGGAATGAACAGGATTTGGGATTTCCGTAACAATGTGAATGATCAATTTTAATTCAGAAAGGGAAACGTTAGGTCATTTTCGCGAAGTTTCTCTATTAATTATAAATTATATAAGAATATATTAATTATATTCTTATATATTAATTACATTCTTATAGACTTTTCTGTTGGTCTACTGCAGTTCGCAAATTATTTAGCAAAGCTTCAACAGTCATTGCCAAATCTAGTTCTATTTAGCAGTGATACGTCACTTTGCAAAGAGTACAACATTTGCCAAGAGCTGAGTGTAGCGTAAAATTGGTAATTACACAACACTTAAACGCATTAACCTTGGAATTTGAAAAAACTCTATGTTGTAATATTGGTTTCACCTTAAGTTTAGAGAATATTCAACAAAATCAAAAAACATTAGGGAAACATGACTTCATTGTAATTTTCTGATTGTATTTTCTTATATAAAATAATGCGTCTATTAGCTTCCGTTGACGTTCCGAAGTACGTAATTTAAACCGACATATGTTTTAAAAAAAGTGTACAAATTATACGATTTTATTTTATGAACCCTCGTTTTCGCCAAAGCGTCAAATGCCTCCAAGTATTTTAATTCAACATTGACTTGGAAAATTATAGAAATGATTTTGAATTATACGCTAGCAGGATGATCACTAACAAAAAACTGCCGGATCTCGGCATTCAAAGTTAGTTTTCTTTATATTTTTTATGTAAAGAAAAAACTTAAAAAACTCGTTTGCTTTTAATATAAGTATTAGAAGCATCTCACTTTTCTGACTGCTTAAACGCTTTAACTTCGCAGCGTTTGGTTAAACAGATTTGAAATCCAATCGAAGATTTCTATCAAAAATGTAAATGTAATCTATTCCTTTGCAAGAAATTTCGGTAAAAACATTTGGACATAGGCTCATGAGAATATGTAAATTGCTTGCAAAAGCAACAAGTCCAATTTACGAACAAAATCGCAACGTTGTGAATGAGCTTTGTAAATGCCGAACAGGTGAAGCAGTTTTAAAAATAGATAGTCAAGCAGGCTAGCAAACAACAAAGCCGTGTCACTCCGGCAGCTACACATTGAAATTGTATTTAGCCTCTTCTTTTATTGCTATTCATTGGTAAACTGAAAACCAGTTTGTTTAAAAACTGAAATAAAGGTTAATAACTTTTATTTTTATTTGCCAATAACAATATAAGTAAAAAAGAGGCAGAAAATTATTTTATTCATTTCTTTTTATTTATTATACATATTTTCAGAAATCCAAATTGGTGGCGACGTCGCACTACTTTAGAAAGATGTCTTACTTTGTTATCAATATTTGCTTTCATAGCTATTGTTGGTCTAGTAACTGGCTTAGTGGCTGTTCTATTATCAAAACAAATGGTGGAGGGTGTGCAAATTCTTTTGTTGAAATTAGATAATTTTTATTCATATCTTAATTTTTCGTTAGAATTGAACGTTCCACCAAATCCCGCCCAGGCATTGCACGGTTATGATGATCGCCCCACTCATAATAAGGTACCTTCAGCCGGAGATAAAGCGACTACCCTTATGATGTCACCTACACAACTGGATGGAAAGTCAAATGTTTGCTTAACAACCGAATGTATTCATACAGCATCAGCTGTATTGAGTAAAATGAAACCCGAAGTTGAGCCGTGCGATGATTTTTATCAATTCGCCTGCGGTACATATATCGATGAGCTACAAATACCAGACGATAAAACATCAGTCAACACATTTTCCGTAATAACGGACAAATTACATGAACAGCTTAAAGACATTATAATGGAAGAGCCGTCTGACACGCAACCGAAACATTTCCGTTTGCCAAATGCTCTATACAAAGCCTGTATGAATAAAAGTAAGTTTAGATTTGAAGATAGGAGACGTCGTATATATCAGAAATATCATATCCGTACTTCCGGCTGCTAGATATAGAATCGTTGACGGAACAATAAAAACCTAAACGCTGGAAAAGATTAGATTCTGTGACATTTAATTTGATAAATCTTTTTAGTATGGTAAACTAATCGCATCCAAGGAATAAAGAATCCGTTCATCTACGACGAAATTTTTGAGATATCGAAATTTTCGAGTGTCATACTTTGTCAAGTCATATTTCTTTTCTATTCCTTTCCAGCCCTAATTGAAAATCTAGGTGGTAAGCCAATAGCAGATATATCTGAATCATTAGGTGGTTGGCCTATTGTCAAAGGCGATATGTGGGATCCGAAAGACACATGGACGTGGCAGGAGACCATTAAAAAGTTTCGTCGCTTAGGTCTAAGTATGGATTATATAATAGATTTTTCCATTAGTGTCGATTTGAAGAACAGCACAAAGCGTGTAATTGATGTAAGCATTTTTAGCTTTTCTTAAGGAAAGTCTTTGCTAATTTGAATTTTTACATAATTTTCCAGTTGGATCAATCGTATATTGGATTAAGTCGCGAATTTTTGATCAAAGGTTTCAATGAAACTTTAGTGAAGGCTTACTATGATTACATGGTGGACATGGCAGTTTTATTTGGAGCAGAGAAAGAAGACGCACAGTCGGAAATGAAAGAAGCATTGGAATTCGAAATTAATCTTGCAAATGTATAAAATCAACGAGAAAAATTTTGCGTTTATTTATAAAGAATATTTCATAGATTTCTTGGCCTAATGAAAAACGTCGTAATTCTAGCGAGTTGTATAACTTACACACCATTACAGAAGTACAACAATTATATCCTTACGTTGATTGGCTGGATTACATTAATGCTTTGTTGCCAGTTAAACTGAAAGTCAACGAAGATGAATTAGTCAATGTGGCTGTTCCAAGCTTTTTTGAAAACCTAGGCAAACTATTGGAAAAGACGCCAAAACGGACTATTTGCAATTATATGATGTGGCGCATACACGCATTTTCGGTAGGTTTTCTATCTGAGGAATATCGTAAACGCCAACTAAAATATAGTACAGCGGTAACTGGACGCGAAGAACAAGAAGCTCGTTGGAAGGAATGTGTCGACATTACATCAGGCAGGTAAGAATTTATTGTAATCTTTCCTTCTTCTACAATTAAAAATTTAACCGTTTTTGCGAAGTTTTTAAGTAGTGACGATCTTGTTTGCTTCTTAGAAAAATATTTTGGCTACTGTTATGAATCGTACGTTGACTTTTCTCTTTATTTTTACAGCTTCGAAATCGAGGATCTTCTTGGGTATAATGTGGTTTCTATTACTTAAAATTGATAAAATTCATTTTTAACCTTTCTTTCGGTTGAGTTTTCAAAATTTTCATTTTTAATACGCGTAACCTTTTAGTTTCTAATTGGGTTTTTCTTTTTATTTACGAATAACAGAACCGTTTTTCATGCCCATAAAAGGTTTTGGTTTATTTCCATGGTTATCATCGGGTCTATCATTTAATAAGCGCCGCAATTAACAAATCATCTGCGTGAGTGAAGCACTGGCAACTGCCATATAAGAATTAATCGTAAACGCTCCTTTTGATGCTTTACTGGGCAAAACCTCCTTAAAGAGCATTAGTAGAATAAGTAAAGCACCTATGCCTTACCAAACAAGTATTTGTATGAAATTCCTTAAGTCATGAAAACGAAAGCCTACAAGCACAATAGTTAGATAACTTTTCTGTTTTTTACGGAAACGACGCTCTTTTAACGGATGTTTTTTGTAAACATTGCAAAAGCGTTCTCTTTAACAAGAATGTTCCAACTTCATCGAATATATATGTGGATCGAATAAAACTGTAGTTAAATTTATACGGGTAAAAAAATCTTGATGTTATATCGTATTTTTCTCCAGACTAGTTCTATTAATATTACGGATTCTCCCTTTAAACCCACAACTGCCTTTAAACTTCGCGGAAACGTTAAGAGGATCTGTACTCTCAAAGATGTCACCTACATTACAAAGTCAAATAAGAAGACTTCTGTTTTTGAAAGCAAAAAAATTTAGGTTTTCGATTGTTACTTATAAATTAAACATTTAATGTACGGACAATGGAGAAATCGGTCCTTCTGGTATTATAGAATATCGAAATTTCACATTTTTGGATTTTTGTCAGGCTACGGAGTTATTCCTATGGAAGATTCGGCAATAGCCGAATATTGTACGTGAATGTAATATATAGACCCTATGATGAAACTCTGCCTCTGTCAAATTATACATTCTCAGCAATGTTTTTTTCATGCCCACATTTTTTGCTCAACTCAGCGAATCATCTGTTGTTGATTATCTGACTCGCAGAAAAAGAAGAATTTGGGGAATAATAGACAATGAGTCTGACTTTCTTCAAAGATTTTAATAGAAAAGAATAAGAAAACTATGTTAGTTTTGGTTGACTATAACCTCAAATGATGAGAAATTAAATTCTCTAAAACAATTTGTTCATTATGAGTGTGACAAGTCGTCGATCATTTATATTGATCGGTATCGGCTAATGACAAAAATATTTTTGAAAATTAATTTGTTTTTCACCTTTTCTCTTTTTTGGACGAATCACACCCCTTTGGTGTATAACCACAACTGTTTGAGACCGTTTCAGACTGTTTAATAAGATTTTATATGCTTTCGATCTGGAATTTCGCTATTTTTTCAAAGTGTTTGCAACTGTTTACAAATGTTTAAGACTGTTTAAGACTGTTTAATAAGATTTTATATGCGAACATAATCATATAAATTCTTTTTTGCAATCTTCAGTATTGAATCAGGGGCTTATCTCACTTGTAATTCCGCGAAACATGCCTTGAAGGTTAATTCGAGTAGATATCAACAGTAAGATTTTGACCGGATGTTTTCAATGTCCATCCAGCCGTTCATGCCCGTGAATGAAGACTTGCCAAAGTTGGTTATACTTGCAGTTGTGTTTCGTAAACAAAGTTCTAAAAAGATCGCCAATCATCCAAAAAAAAGGACAGTTGTAGATATTGTCCTCAATAATTAGTAGCCCGTATCCAATATTTAGTCAGTACTCGTATAATTTTTGGAAAAATGATTTACCGTGAAATATCCGCTAGAGGTGTCAAATGCCCTAAGTTCGAAGCTAAATAAATATTTATAACATGCACTCGAGAAAACCATTACAAGAATTTTTGTTGCTCAACTTTTGAGAAAGGCCAACAACAGGCGATAGACGTCCTTGGCAAAATTGAATCAGAATCTCGCGTCGACAAAAAAGAGGTTTTGTGGATTGACCGTCTGACCGATTGAGGTTCATTCTTAAGTGCATCTGAGTAATCAAAATGACAAGTCTGCAGAATTTTTTTACAATTGCGGTTCAATGACTATGGGATTATACCGTTTTATTTCCGTTGTCTACTTTGATAGTTCGACATATTAGGCTAATCAAGGAATGACGAAACGGTCAAAAATGTTATCATTTATTAAGCTTATTTTGTCAAACTTCCGCGTACGGTGAACTTTTAAATTATCGACGTACCGGTAAGAAGATGGTTAAACATTTTGTAAAATAATTTCAATCGGTTTATTTCTTTTAAAAGACCTAAAGTGAAGTTCAAGAGTTCAAAACATGCATACATGTAAGACAGGTTAATTAAAGAGGTGTTAGTCATTCACCATCAGAACATTAGCGTGTTAGCGCATAAATATTTAATAGCTCACACAGAATGCACTTCCTCAAATTTTTTCTTTTTAGTATACGTTCGTCTTACCATCCGAATTGCACGTATCTTATTTCACCGAACAACGTCACAAACAAACTACTACTGCAAAATAAGTTTATTATAAGCGAAAGAGTCTGAAGGAACTGACGACCGCTAAAATTTCGCGCTTCATATTCTTCAGCATTTCTTTAGACGAGATCTTTCTACACAAGTTCTTTAGAAGTCCCTTTTTAAAAGATACTGGTTCTAATGTTGAATATTTAAATTTTCACTAGCTCTTTTTCTGAAAATAGCAGTATATATATATTGAATTATTTAATTTTAAATTTTTAGTTAAAGTATTATTTATTTTTATATTATCAAATCATATCCAACTCTTTATACAATATCATTTCACACAATATGTATAACTGACGAAATGAATCTTCAACAAAAACAAATGATTCAAAATCACTTATTCATATTCCGCGTTTAATAACTATGCTGACCAACAAAATCAACAATAATCATGATCATTACATGACTTCAACAGTTTATCTATCGCGGTCGGTTCCTTATATGTACGTAAACATTTCAAAGAAGACTCGAAAGCTAATGCTTTGGAAATGGTCATGAGTATTAGGAATGTTTTCCATAAGATATTAGAGGAAGTAGATTGGATGGATGAAGGTACGCGAAAAGAAGCCATTAAAAAAGTGGAATCAATGGCTGTTCATATCGGCTATCCCGACGAGCTATTGGATGACAATAAATTGGCTGAATATTATGAAAAATACGAAATCGAACCGGATAAATATTTTGAATCATTTTTAAAAATGAACGTAATAGGTAAAAAGTGTAATGCTTGCACGTTATATTTGCTACAAATTAAAACAAGCACTTCTCCTTGCATTTTTACGTAATAGGCACTGACTATTCATTCAATAAATTACGCCAACCGATTAACAAAACCGAATGGCTGCGCCATGCCCGACCAGCTATAGTAAATGCGTTTTATTCATCATTGGAGAATAGTATACGTAAGTGGAAGCAAAGGCATTTTAAAGAAAATTTTCTTAGACAAACTGATAACGAACATGAAATTTCAGAATTCCCAGCGGGTATATTGCAAGGACATTTCTTTAATGCACAACGTCCCAAATATATGAATTATGGAGCCATTGGCTTTGTTATAGGTCATGAAATTACTCATGGCTTTGACGATCAAGGGAGACAGTTTGACGTGGACGGTAATTTAGTAGATTGGTGGGATGAGAATACGCAAAAAGCCTACTTGGAAAAGGCTAAATGTATTATAGAGCAATATGGTAACTTCACCGACCAGTTGACTGGTTTAAAGGTAAAACGAATTTTTTGGGTACTTGAAATGATATCCTCTTTTTGGTGTAACAATAGTTTTTCTTAAAAGAAGTAGTCGTGTAACCAGAAATAAATAACTGTAAATAACTGTACTGCACGTGCAGAATGCGATTTTACTGCGGTTTTCGAGCTCATTTTATCGTAAGTAGATTGTATGATTTAACTAAAACCTACATTAAATTCAGTGAAAGAACGAATCGAAATGTTTGGCCCCATAAAAGGAATTGTTTCAAGCGCCCAGGAAGATTTATCTATAAACCTGAAGAAATAATTTGACCATTTTTCTTTTTTTAGTTAAACGGCATCAATACTCAGGGTGAAAATATAGCGGATAATGGTGGTCTGAAAGAATCGTATTGGGCATATAAAAATTGGGTTGCCCAAAACGGTGTGGAACCTAGATTGCCGGGTCTAGACTATACGCCAGAGCAAATGTTTTGGATATCTGCCGCCCAAACTTGGTGCGCTAAAATTCGTAAAGGTCTGTACTTCTAGTATAATTTTTAAATTTAACGTTATAATTACCGATTTACTTAAATAGAAACCCTTAGAATGCGCATTACCACCGGCGCTCATTCGCCCAATGAGTTTCGTGTTTTGGGTACATTGAGCAATACAAAAGATTTCTCTCGGGATTTTCAGTGTCCCGAAGGTTCACCTATGAATCCAGTGCACAAATGTCACGTTTGGTAGATAGTCACGGCGTGGCATATATTTTTAATATTTCTCTCTAATAAATTTGTACTTTTTTTTTATGTATATGTATATATAAAATCTCTATTTATGTTCCACATTTCTAGTTAACTTGTATTATCATTTTTTGTGTTATGTTTTAGATTTAAACGGGAGATATGTAAAAATTCATGACATTGAATATTTGTTATTTTTATTGCTTTATATTTATTTATTTTTATTATTATCTTCTTTTTTTTTAAGAATCAATGTGTGGATGAAAAATGAGATATACCGGATAAATATAAAAATATAGTAAACATTTTAAAATAAATAATAGACAAATATAAAATAAATGCAATATAAAAAAAATAATTGTCTGCTTTGTGAAATATGCTCGACGTTTAAGCAAGTAAGAAAATTATAACCAGCTGCAAGCGAATGTCATGCATGCCTCAGTACCTTTTTTTATCTGTCAATAAAAGTATTTTTTATATCCACCACTGAAGGTATTTAAACATTTATTGTCAAAACATTCGAAGCTCTTGCAAGAACGTTGATATTAAAACTGAGCGAAATTGGCAAAGGACGCTAACTAATCATTCTTAATCGTTCTTAACCATTTGTAACCATTTTAGCCACTCCTACAGTACTTCACCTTTATTTTTAAAAACCCAAAAATTGAGTTTTATACTTATTACTCATATCGTGCATTGCTGCGCACATTCTGCGGGTGATCCTATAGTGCCTGTATAAAAATGGAGAAATTCGTCCACGCCCACCTTTTATTGTGGAATATTCAATTTTTCTTTTTTTGTGCTGTATTAGAAGAAATGGCTAGGGATGAAGAATTCCGTCAATACCGAATTCCGTATTTCTTTTGAGAACAGCGGTATTCTTAATTCTTAATTCATGGTGCACTATGGGCATGTTCTTTAATGAATATGGCCCATTTTTAATACCAAGCCTCATCCGGTAACTTCTGACGTTTTTACCGCGTCTCATCTCATCGGCGAATTATCAAAAGTTGAAACAAAGTGCACATGAGTTAACTATTAAAATTAATGATAAAATATTTGAGAATGCACTTTACTTCTTATGTTAGATTATCACATTTTATTTGTCTTTTGAGGAAAAATATGGGATGTTTCGCCGTGAGTCTCATTGGAAGTTAGCATGTTCTTGAATGAATAATTTCATCTGATGTCATACTCCTTCAAAGTAAATTAAGCGTTTTGCCTTTGTTTTTCTCGAAAGATCGCAGCCATGACTGTATACAGTAATATATTATTTGTTAAGCAATTTATTTACTGTCTCTCCGTCTATTTATGAAAATTGTTTGATTGTAGAAATAGGAAAAGGCAATAAATAATATTGTAAATGAACGAAATAAATGCACTTATCTACTTCCAATTTGTAACCTTTTTTTAATTTTTTTTTCGCAATTATTCACTTCCTACAACTTCTTTGAATTGCATTGAGTTAAAATGTTGCTAAAACGCTAAAAGCCGTTATCCGGTTTTTCCTTTCGCAAGGTTTTTAAAAACATACCCTTTTGTTTACAATGGAGAGAGCACACAGTTGTCGACCATGACAAAAAATCCCCCCGACTCATAAAAGTCGCAGTGGAAATGATAAATGATTATCTCAATTTATTTCGCGTGCATATTTATTTGTACATTTTTTATATTTTCCCATTTTTGATAGTTACCGTAGCGTAAAAAACGAAAATTTCATCGCTTAATAACATATTTCATTATTATTTATTTTCGATTGATTTATATTATATTTATATCGACGGTATATGGGGCGAACGGCAGCCGTTAACAGCATTTAAACTTAAATGTGGCTTGTCATCGTCATCACCATCCCGCAATTATTCATACTAAAAGATTCTTAACTCATGTTGACTGCTTAGGGCTTACATTATGCGCTTACATTGACAGCACGGAATCTAATTTCTACATCTATCAGTTTGATACAGGTGTTTACTTACTTTACAAAACACATATCTTTTAGGAAAATCCCGCTTATCATCCAATATATATATGAATCGATTTCTGAGTTTCATCTAACGATAATAAAAAGGTAATACGATTCTCTAGACAAAAATTAGGAACCAGTTGGTCGAATTCTTCACTCATATAGGGTCCACTAATTATAATGATTTGTATAGAGCATTTGTATTCTTCTGTTTATCTTTTACGTTAAGCGTTCTACAACAATCCGTCTTCAAGCCTATGCGAATGATTTTAGGAATCAAGACATTTCTGTTTATAAATTTGCTTCTCTGGTATTTGTCTTTATTATTTTAGAAAAAAATTAATTGAGTGGGAATAAAAACATTTTTTCTTTAATAATACAAATATAATAAATTGCGAGCTGCTATCGGCATTTCGAGTGTTTTTGTAAAATTATAATAAATAGAAATTCAAAGCTTTGTATATATACTCCGGCCCGGAAATGTCCATAACAGGAAAATGTTGCAATTGTTCAATGTTATTCCTTACTTTGGTTACGGGCACCGTTTTGCTTTTGCTGATATGGATTCTGTCAGCCTTCTTAGTACCTCACTGTGCTTCAAAAATTTGCCAAAATAATGAATGTTTAAATAAAGCATCACATTTATTAAAAAGGATGGATTTGCAGATCGATCCTTGTGAAGATTTCTACAAGTTCGCTTGTGGTTCATTTATCGTTGGAAAGGAAAGTGATATTGACGCCTATACTGAATTAAAGCAAACTGTAGCAAAACAACTATCTGAGTTAATTATGACACCCACATATACGCACAAGCATCGTTATCTTAGTTTACCGTATGCGTTTTATAAAGCCTGCACAAATCACGGTAAGTGAGATTACGTGAGAACGGAGTGTTTATTTTACGCTTCACATTCACCTACCTGCGGTTTAAAAGAACATGTGTTTAGCCTTTGCCAATAACAAATCGACTCATATTACTTGTTTTTCAATTACTCGTCGGTTGACGTCGGGGTTTCAATCAATGCATGCTTGTATTTCGGTTGAAATCCTCCTCAGAACCTTCCACAAACTTCTCGTGGTCCCACTTTCTGAGCAGAACGTGCATTGCGTCACACATCTAAATTTGAAATGAAATTCTGAGGCACAATTTCAATAAGTTGGACATATTAATGCATTAAGGAGTCTTTTAAATAAATGAATAAGAAAAAATAACGTCACACCGTTATAAAAATATACGCACTTAATGAGCATGACCGCCTTATTCAAGTCATGTCAGTATATTCGTTCATCTTAGATAGGCTTTTGCCCCAGGAAAATTATTTTTCGTTTTGTTCTCGTCAAAATCGCTTGATGGACTTTAGTAAAATAAAAAGTTTACCTGTCCGCTAAATATTATCTCCCTACTGCGCTTTGACTTTTGTCTTTCAGATATTTCACTTTATCCGGTATTATCAAAACATTCATTTAGATTCACTTTATGCGGCTCGTAATTTTCTTCTTGTTTTTCTTTGCAGAGATGCTTACCAAGCTGGGCTTACAACCTGTGAAAGATGTTCTCAAGAAATTAAATAAATGGCCGCATTTCTGCAGAGATTGTAGCGGCTCAACTTATTGGCCCGATTTAATCAAGAATGCACAAAGATTAGGCCTAGAAACTAATTATATTATTGGTTTTAGTCTAGAAGTGCATCCTGAAAATTCTGAGAAGTTTGTAATGAGCGTAAGTTAAATTGTGTTGTACGACATCCGCTGGAAGATTTTCGATTACTTTTGTAAGTACCATAAGATGATCGACGTACCCCAACTTTGGTATCAAAAAGAAACAACCAGAAAAGCTCTAATTAAAAACGCTTAGTAAAGTAAACGTTCTCCGTCAGAGCGCTATTTTTTATCAACTTATCCTAACCTGCACGTTCGTCAGTTTTTCCGTTCGATCCTTTCACCAATTCGTCCATCTATCCGTCCATCCATCCATTCATTATCTTGATTGTCTTTCGTTTTATTCGTCTGTGTGACTCTTCTTTGGCTAATCCATATAGGTTTTAAGAGAATTGAATCTTCGATTCACTTGCCGATTTCGCGAAGGAGCCGACAGTCGCCTTTCGTACGAGTCTTCGAATTTGATACAAATATTAATGGTAATTATTGAAGTTTTTTTTCAATTCGCACAGAATTTCTACTTCTACAGAATTTCATCCGAGATCATTCGCTTATATATTGTGTTTTTTTTTTTTTTCAATTTATAGATTAATGAGCCCAATTTTAGTTTAGAACCGACATATTTGTTTGAGGGTTTTAAGCACCCCGAAGTTAAAGCTCTTTACGACTTCCTGGTGAAAATGGCTATTAATTTGGACGCTACGCCCGAAATGGCAGTCTCTGTTGTTCATGCTGCCTTGATGTTTGAGATGAATTTGGCATCGGTAAGTTTCATAACTATGGTACTTCGGTTTTTCCCTTTTTCGGACTTTAGCAAAGACTTTACTTAAATTATAGGCTATATCAAACATATCGCAAATGATTTCGAAGATTTAACTGGACAAAGAAATAAATTTCGTAGGCGTAATGCACCCTCCGCCATTCCCGGACAATTTCCTTTCTCTTTTTCTTCGTTGCAATTTGTTATTTGTCGCAGATATATATTCAAAAATATCTGGATTCCTTTTACTTGCATTTTGTGCGCGGCAAAGGCCTATCAGCAGCCAGATACTGGTACGTATATATACTATATTAACATTCGAAGATGTTTTCGGGCTTTCATAGGATGGATCAGAAAGTTGTTTAATTTTAAACTAAACAAGTGCTACCTCTTTTTTGAGACTGCTTTTCGTGTGCATGACGCCTAAGCGTGTTTTTTTGTCGAAGTTAATATCATCCTCATTCACCTCATGTAATACAATGTTTCTTTACATTTCAGATATCTTTGGGTCTGTCTCCTGTTAATATTATGGACGCCTATGAACCTCCGTATAGCTTGATTCCTATTAAAACATTGCAATCAATTCTACCATATTTGGATTGGTTAGAATATATTAATGGTTTATTATCGACTGACCACAGCGTGAATGAATCGGAGATAATCCTTGTGAGAGAGAAATCATATTTTATGCAGCTGGGTTTGATCCTGAGGAAAACCGATCATGTCGTCATTTGTGACTACTTAATCCTTCGAACTATAAAATATTCCATTCCTTTTCTACCAGATAAGTTTTTATTGATGCATTCGGCATTGCAAACAAACAAATCAAAACGTGCCTACAGCTCGGATAATTTATCTTTCTTAAAATCTGAATCTCGTGAAGAGCAATGTCTCTCAATAATACCACAATTGTAAATTAAAATTGTGTAAGAGCTATTGTATTATTTATTTAACTTTCTCAAAGTTTAGGTTCCCGATTATTATTGGCGCCCTCTACGCTCGACAATACAGTAACCTAGATTCGAAAAGTAAAGCTACCGAAATTTTCGAAAGTATCAAAAGGGAATTTTTGCACGGTTTGCAACATATCATATGGTTAGACGAAACGACCCGTACAAAAAATATTAACAAATTGAAATCAACGCAATTTTATATCGGTTATCCTGAGCAATTGATGGACGACGAATTACTAATTAAATATTATGAGAAGCTGGAGATACATCCCTAGCGATTTTTTGAATCTTATCGAAATTTACGTAATTTTAAAAGGAATAAACTGTTGGAAAAATATTTTCTACCTTTCAAGAAAGCCAACTGGGAAACATTCTCGCAGACCTTCGCCACTAATGCTTACTATTATCATAACAAAAACTCCCTTTGTAAGAAATCGAAATTTGATTCAATACTTTAATCATCAAAATGTTTTTTCCTGGATTTGTTTTCAGTTATTCCCCTCGGCGTGCTACAAGGACAATTTTTTAATCCATATTTGCCCAAATATGTAAACTATGGTGCTCTCGGCTATGCTTTAGGCCATGAAGTTGTCCATGGTTTTGATAACGTGGGTAGCAAATACGATTCAAATGGAAATACAAACGATTGGTGGCACAGCGAAACTAATCAGGAGTTTGTTCGGATGACTAAATGCCTTATTAGGCAATATGGAAAATTTCAAGACGAAACTACCCATTTAAAGGTAACTCGACAACTTCTGGAAACATTTCGATTCATTAATTTGTTCTTATTTTAAGCTTGACGGAGAGCTTACGTTAGCTGAAAATATGGCCGATAACGGAGGCCTTCGACAAACTTATAATGCCTATAAACGTTGGGCTTTACGTCATGTTCCCGAAGTTAAATTACCTGGTCTGGATTTCACTCCCAAACAACTGTTTTGGATTTCGGGTGCTCAGCTGTGGTGTAAAGTGTTAAATAACGGTAACAATAAACATTGTAGTGATTCTTTAATAAAGATTTAAGCAGTTTTTCTCTAGAAACTTCGTACAAGCAGTGGCAAGGAAGGAGGCATTCGCCGTATATATGCCGTGTGTTGGGGCCTTTGCGTAATATACCCGAATTTTCACAAGACTTTAATTGTGCTGAAGGCTCGCCGATGAATCCTTTAACTAAATGTTATGTTTGGTAATAAGAATTAAATTAAAATCTCAGAGATCCCAGTCATTAAACTTCGTACAACTGTCATGGGAAAATTAATTTACTTTGTAACTATCACAAAAATAAAAATTTGGTTCGTTAATGGCCGCACATTACTAAACGTCATTCTATAGACTATCACTGCTATACAGACATGTTAGTGTCTGTAAGAAAATTAAATTTTCATCTTACAGATCCAAAAATAAACCAAGTTTATCGTAGAAGAGTAGAAATTTGGGTAAAAAAGCGGTAAATTGTTATGTTTTAATTTTCAAAAAAAAAAAAAGTAAGAACATTACAGTCAGGCAAGGTCGTACACCACATTGTCTAACACAATTGTTATTTTTATTACAGAACACGAAAGTTATGTCTTATTACTATATAATGGCATATTTTTCAAGTGCGTGCTTATGCGGAAACTGCACCAACACGCAACCTAACATAGCACACGATCCAAAAATAGGCATAGCTGGTCCAAATTTTCTAGAATTTATTTTTGTATGAAATTACTATTGGGTCAACATTCATCACCACATATTAGAACTTACTTGTCTGCTCGTCAAAGGGTGAATTTTCGTGAAAATCCTTGATAGGGTAGGATCCAACAAATAGGCCGAGATGGTTCAAAATTGGTGAAGTTAATTTTTTTATGTTAAATCACCATTATAATATAATTTTGATCATAAAGAATTGAAAATTAGACCTTTTTGTCCCATAAACTCCTGTTTTCATTATATGAGAGGGGTTTCAAAAATTGCCCCGGCCGGTCTAAAATGTTCGTACTAATTTCGAATGCCGAAATACTAGTAGTTAGCCAATCTTGCCGACAAATTTTGAATATTACAATTTTCCACATAACGATTTTTCAGAATAGGTCGTTATATGGGGAGTGGTCGAGAAAGTGGATCGATCGGAACCGATAGCGATCGTCTTTGGAACAAAACACATCGCTTTTCAAATCAAATCTCACTAAATAATCCCAAGAATTGCGACCTGTTGTTTGGACATAAATTTACATGGACAGGCATCAGATGGATAGATGGGCAGACAGGCTTAGATCAATTCAGATTACGATTCTGAATCGATAATAAAAAGTGGGTCTATCTTAAACCCTTCTGCGTATTACATACGTCCGCGCCAACTTGATATACCCCGTACCACAAGTGATGTGGGGTATAAAAATTCGAAAAGAAATAGGTTATCGTTTTCGCGTTAACATTGTTAAAGCGAAAATTGTACGATTTGCAGGCAAAATAGCACAAGCAGATGGCTAATTTTTTATATTTGTCATAATCATATCATCCTTGCTTTTCTCTTTTTTAGTTGTGTTCTTTATCTATAATCACTTGTTTAGCAACAACCGCTGAAAAACCTTAAAAAGTAATAGTGTGTCTATTGCGCTATTGTAAATTAAATATCTTATCATATGCTATCCTAGAAATCAAAATTCAGTGATTCCTTCGCGAATGCAATGCAATAAAAAAACAATAAGAATAGCATTGTAACAAAGTCATAGATGACAAGTTAAGTAAATCAACTCAGCCCTTGATAAGGGTTCAATAAGTTGCGTAAGACTGGAAAAACAGCACATCTACAATCATCAATATGCAAACAACTCAATAAAGTCATAGATTTAAAACATATTAAATCGTGAATAAGTAACTCTTCTCTATAAGCCTGTACAAACAGCATATATACAATCATCCGTACGCAACCAACTACACCAAATTCTGCAAAATACCTTCACCATAATAATTAATAAATAAAGGATTTGTGATACAAGGAATCTAAACGTATTTGTGCACAATATCCAAAGACTCAATAGCAGTAGCTAACAAAACTTACTTTTACAGAACTCTTTTTAACGTAACAAAAAACAAAACTCTTTATCTCAAAACGAGTTGAATAAAAACGTAACATCGTAAAAGAACTGTTTATGTCACAATATAGGCAAAATAAACAAACAAAAGGGACTCTGCGATAAATAGAAAATGGGAAAAACAGAAAATTATTATTCTCACCGCAATCAACATCAACAAATTTGAAGCAAATCTGAAGCATTTTATTGCATTTGTTAGAGAAAGCGATGAAGACAGCTTTTGTAAAACGTTAGTTAAAAAGTGTGTCAAGGATCCTAAAGCAGTCATTCTTTTCGTGAATTTTGAGCCGACATTTATACCCATACATTAATTTATTAAATTATGACTCATTTCATATGTCTGCTTACGAACATTATAAGATGTTAAGCAAAAATATAGCATATGCGTAACACACGACATTTCGCTAGCACGATTTGCACAGCCAATTTATTAAGTTTTACTGGAGACAACGAAATACGTAAATCAGTGGTAACGCTGTTAACTTTCATTTTCATTATTTGTGTGGGCACGGAATCTGTTAACAGTTTCTTGATATGATATCGCATTTTCTCACACGTTAGCAAATAGAAGCATATCAAATTCTGCGTTTTTAAGTGAATATGGATGCGTATAAGTGAGTACGTACGAAGAAAGACGAAACAGCAGTTATGTACGTATGTGTATCTATGCAAATATCAATGAAAATGTTGATATTAAAAACTGTGATCGGCATGTCGGCCTCCAAGAATTTCGAATTTTTTCACAGCTAGATTCTTAACGTAGAGTCCAGTAATCGGCGGTAAATTTGGGGCAAAAACGTTATACATAAGTTAACTGAGATAAAGTTGTTTGATCGAGTATTTGCCTGCAACTGGCTTTATTTTAAATTATTTCCGAAAAGTCAAAATGTGTGCTATTACAGAAATCATTTTGTTTATTCCTATTAACTGTTGCGTAGAACTTAGTTGAGAATTAGGATTTGATTTGAGAATGCGAGATAGGTAAGAGTCAAATTATTTAAACAAATCGAATCTACATAGATGATGGCATCCAATTTCATCGGTATTGGATTAAAAAGGAGGTTTAATACATGTTTGTTAATTTATATAATGCTTTTGATTTGTGTTAGGAAATGTTATAAATATCTGTCGGCATATTTACAAGCATCCACCGGTTAATTCGGCTTCGAAATCGTGTTATGCACAACTTTTGTGTTCATTAGGTGCTTACATTTAGTGCTTTCATTGAGAAAGGTTGGTACAATGTGTATTGATCCAAATGTTTTCCATCATTTTGTGCAACACTTTACCACGGTTTCAGCAACATGACGATAAAAAAAATAAAATATGAAATTCGCTACTATGACGAAATACAAAAATTAAAAATGAATTCAAAAAATAATGACGAGTCGTTCAAAACTTCTCTAGTTAACGATAAAATAAAAGCAAAAATCAAATAAAACAAACACATATTCGATTTTTTGAAATCATGTGGTATCGAAGCGGTGCTATCATATTCGCAAATTTTGTACCTGATTGCATCGAAACCGCACCTTACAAGTACCATGTTAATCGGGGGATTACTGCGTATGTTAGAATATATATTGTACATATATGTCTATTATATAAGTGCATATGTACATGTTTTGTACATATACAATAATTGGGAAATGATTGCCATTTTAAGTTCATTATTGTTTGTCTTGGTGTACATTTCCACCATGATAAGAACATTGGGACGTCTAAAAAAATGCATTCTCGGCATTGATTGATCCATTATAATAAACTAAAACACTTGGAGTTGTTTTGATACTAAAGGGAGTGCGTGTGTTTATTTTGTTTTCCGGTGAGCGGATTATTAATTTCTCATCGTGGGATACTGTAAATCATAAGGACTGGATCGAAATGGGTATATCACATTCGTGCGTATTAAGAAGAATTGATTTGGTAGAATTGAAAGATATTATGCAGATTTGAGCAAAGGGCTTTGAACGGATTGAAAAGCTCTTAATTAATCTCTATATTGACTAAACTTTATGAAGACAAAGTTTAGGAACTCTAGGGAGATACGATTCGGAACATTAAAGTTTATCTCACTAATTAATATTGGCGAAGCGATAGTAGCATTTATTAACTTAATTAGAAAGGAAACAATAAGAATAAATCTACGTTTCTCAAGTGACTGTAAGTCTAACAGAAGAAATCTGTTTTTTTCCAAAGAAGACAAAGAAGCAAACGGGTCCAACCCAAATTCCTAAATTCAAATTGCTTCTGGATGTATCCTATTGACCACGCGACAGGGTCAATGTATTGAAATAATTATACAATAAATTAAAAATATTCTTTTTTAAGAAGCTCGAGATTTCATTAAAATAAAAACTTCATAAAAAAATTGTATATAAATATTTCATAGTTTTCAGACGATTACAATTTTCGTTCTACTACAAATCTATGCTTTAACTTTATCGCCCTCTTCGATTGGTTCCACTAGAATGAAATTGCCTCGTTTAGACCAAACTATTTTTTCTGAATTTTGAAGGCATAGTTACTACTACAAACATTATCAAACGATAAAAAGAAGTCATCATGTATGATATTAGAATTTATTCCATTTTATTCCATTTATTCCAGAAAATTCTCATTTTTCGTATCGGCCGTTTCAACTTCTTGGAGATTGTTACCTCGACTAGCAATAAATCGTGCTATTTGTTGGTGATCTTTAGGATCTTGGATCATTTCCTTTATTTCCTTTATCATATTTTGCCGGTTGAGCCCTAAAATGTAATGATAATCAATAAAAAAAAAAATTTCTTTCTTAGCACGTGCGGCTTACACCAAACATTCCTCCTATTTGAACAAAAACAAGCATCCTACACTAAGAAAATGAACAAGAACAAATCGTTTGCAAATCAACGCATGTTACGTGAATTTGAAAGAAAAATAGCTGTAGACACGAGGTTATTGTATTTTGCAAACGTCGCATCGGTGGATGACATATAGAATATGGATTGTTGCCTATGTCGTGTAGAGAAGCTTATTACTTGCAGTTCCCTAAGTAAAGAGAAAATACCTTTATTCGCCGACCTCTTCATATCGCGTAAGTTATTTCAAAATTTCTTCGCGTACGGCTTAGG